GTGGAGTCTCCTACTCTGGAGGTCTTCAAAACCCGCCTGGATGCCACCCTGTGCCACATGCTVTAGGTGTGCCTGCTTGAGCAGGAAGGTTGGACTAGATGATCTGTAGAGGTCCCTTCCAACCTTAAATATTCTGAAATATTCTGAAATAATATTCAAGTGGGATCTACCCAAAGCCATATTTAATTCTTCTACCTAGCACAGTAAACAATAGAGATACTAGTGTAACAGTTTTCCCTTAAGGCTCAACGGACTATTTTAATCAGTTCTCAGGGAGTTATTAAGAAAAGGAAGTTAATTGATGCTAAACAGCAATCCACATAGGTGACATATGATGGATAATTTTATGGGGACCATAAATGGACTATTCCGCATGGGTGGGACAGAACATTTTGAGGAAGGTTGTCTCAGAATCACCTCTGCACTGTAACCAAGTAGGATTCTGCAATTCTCAAGCATTCATATTCCTAGTAAATCCCAAGGGTATCTGAGATATACAGACACGGACACGCTGGTGTTCTTGTCCTCTGATGTCCCCACCCAGAGGTGAGCGCCTTTTTGAAGACATTATCTACACAAGCACTTCCATCCCCTGTGTTCACTGTCATGATCCATAATCATTTGTAGAAATGGCCAAGACAAAGTCAATAGCACATCTAAAGTCAATAAATAAACCCTTCTGAGTCCTTTAATGGAAAATATTTACTTTTGAGATTATCAGAGACCAAAAATCTGGCTGAGGAGCTACCAATAGGAACGAGGCATTATTTATTTTCACTAAAGCCCTGTAGAAATGYCGTGCTTTCTCCCTAGAACTGTACACTCTTCCCACCTGCAGTCTGGAAAGCAAGACCGCATCCAGCAAATGCTGAACACAGGCCAAGCCTGTATTCTGAAGGTTGTCACAGTTTGCCAAAGTTGATTCTTTTCTTAGTATCTTAGAGATAAAATAATTAGATCCACCCAATTAGGTGCAATGTGGTGTGCAACACTTGATAAATAGACTGAATTTCTATACTGAGGCAGAAAGTGCATGTTCTAAGTTCTTGTGATGGACAGCACACCACGATCCCCACTACCTAGTGGGTAGTAATCACTACTAATCAGTAACGATGACCAGTAATCAGTTACCATTGGGGTAGGTAAACCTACTGATAGGTTTACAGAGGAAAAACACAGCAGCAGCTCTGTGGGATGAGAGATGCATGAGCACGTTGAGAGAGAGTGGCAATAACTACCAAGTCCATCACACCGTGAGTCAGCTTCCCAGAAAAACGGCCCAGTTGCTGAGTGAACGGAGATTCACCAATGAATCTGTCAGGACACCACATAAAAATTTTAGCACTTAGTAATTTTCCTCCTCATCTGTCCAAATTGGGGGCAAATCCATTCTTCCATCAGGGGTGTCTAGGCCGTGTTTTATTATAACAAGGAATCCCCTCAAGAGGGGAAGCCAGATTCCTTTGGTTTCAAGGCTGATGTACTAAGCTGGGTTTTTTGAGGCCTAGTAGCAAAGGCTGCTGCTGTGGGCACCAAAAGTCTGTCTTTTCTTCCATCCTGCCAGCTAATTTTTACAAAACCTCCAGAACTTAACAAAACTTCTATCATTCAGTCAAATTAGGTTGAAAGTGGCCAAGAAAACTAGGTTTCTCAAAGAAATGAATCAACAAAGCAGATAACAAATTGTCCTTTTCTTCATTCTCACAGTTGCTCCAATCCATTCCGGTCGGAGTTAGTCAGGTATATGGCTGTGATAACCCCTGGACCGGGGGAATTTTCCTGGTTGCTCTATTTATCTCCTCTCCACTCATTTGTCTGCACGCGGCAATTGGATCAGCAGTGGGGATGCTGGCAGGTAAAGATTTGATTTCTGTCACCGATTTATACAGAAGCACAGCAAATAGAAGAACTCAAGTGCCTGGAACATTTACAGTCACAAATGTTTTTTCCATTGGAAAATGACGGCTTGAAAAAGGATATAGACTTCTGTCTTAAAAATTCTTTTGATTGACTTCCCAATTTTCTTAACTCATTTTACAGCACTGGAAATGCTGGGAAGAGAGAAATATATTTTTGTTTGAAATGAATTTTTATCGTGAAATATTTCATTTCTGGACACATCCTGATGCTTTTAGGAGCAGTTTAATAAAGAACATGGCCATGAGCCTGAATGTGCCGGCCTCACGGATGCATTTACAGTTCAAATGTATCCTCGTTCACCCATATATCTTCCCCTGAAATCACAGGGCCAAATTCAGCTCAGCCACACCAGGTAAAGTCCACAGTGATTGCATTAGATTAACATGGCTTTAGTCTTAGATTGTAACAACATGTCTACAAATAGGAACTTGGCCTACACAGGCAAGCTTAAGCCATGGGAAACCGGGAATAACTCCATTTCTAAGCTGCTTTTATTGATTTGACCACGGAATCTTTGCCTTATTTTACAGCCCTGAGCTTAGCAACACCTTTTAGCAAAATCTACTCTGGCTTGTGGAATTACAACAGTTCCCTCTCCTGCATTGCAATCGGGGGCATGTTCTACGCATTCACCTGGCAGACACATTTGCTGGCAATTGCTTGYGGTACGTACGCTGTGGATTTTCACTACTGCTCTATTTCCTTCTGAAGATACAAAAGGCACTTGTTGTAGGGGTGGGCTGGAGCCAGACGGGTCACATCTACACCAACAGATGGACAAAGGTGTGATGGACAAATGATTGAGGTGGATGTTGAGCTACTGCTATATCACATCCTCACAAAATAAAAACTGCAATTGCCTTCAGACAAAAATTACGTTCAAAACACAAGAAATGATCAATTAACTAAGCTCTTTGAAATCAGATGCTTCTTTCTGAAGTATTGAATGGGTTCATTAGGTGTTGCTGGATGCATCGTGTTGGTCTTTCTCAATGAAGAAATATTCTCAGATTCCTTCTTTGGAGAAGGGCATATCTAACCCTTGAGAAAACTGGAGCTCGAGATCAGCCTGCACTCAAAATTAGACAGTACAATTTCCTACCTCTACTGAAATGGATACCAGAGGCATGAGTTAGGCACCACAGAATGATTGAAGAATTATTTATAAGGCAATTCCATATGAAATTTCAATATCAGAGAGAGCTGGGACTGAAAGTATTGCTCATTCAGTGTGCATATAAAAAAGATTTAGCTTCGTATCTCATTGACCCACCTCCTAGCCCTGGAGGCAGGATAAATGTGGGTGGAAGGGTTATTTCCCTATTTAACCCCATCCATCAAGCTACATACTTTCCACACCAGCATATGTTTCAAAAGCCTGTTCCTACAGTCACAATTTCCTTTACTCCACCTCTTTTTTTGCTTTACCCTTTCCGTGGGCTCCAGGTTGAAGGGGACACTCTGTGCAAAGGCAGGTTGTGAGAGGCGGCTACCCAGAGAGTTTTGTAAATACTAATTAGGCAGTTATGTGAGGCATCATGAGAGCTTGCTCAAGATGCTTGTCCTTTCTGGCTCCTCAGTGCTATGAGCAACTGAACTCACTAGGAATTGTATTTCTTTTTACAGCACTCTTTAGTGCCTACATGGGAGCAACACTCACTAACATGTTGGCTGTGGTAAGTAGTTTATTAGCTTCGTACAACATAGTAGGATGGTCTTGTTTCCAAACACAAATTTAAATGCTTTGCATGTGTTCCTGACTCGTAAGGCAAAAGACTGAGACTTGGAGAACAATTTGGACAAAAGCAGAAGAGATCCAGAAGAGGGACGCAGTGTGCTCAGAGGGTTGTTTGGGTCCGCGCTGACTGAACAGGTCACTTGCAATAATTATTTACCACTTTTCATTCTTGGAGTTCACATGAACTTCCACAGATTGGCCTTAACGCCCTCAAAATAGCTACGTGGCCATACTTTGTGCCTGAAGTAACTGAGAAAGGGACCTGCCATGYGTGTGAGCAAACCTTGAGTTTGTTTCTGTTGCACCCCAGTGCCAAAAGGCAGTCAGTGCAAGAGCCTGTGGTAAAGCTGAATGTATCYGGTACTCCCTCCTATTTCATCTCCATCCAAAATCACAGAAGATGCTTAAAGAGAAGGCAGTTCTTTCATCAGAGCTGACAGACACTATAGGTTAACATACAGTGTTTAGGTCTCATTAAGAAATCCTGCCTCCCTGGGAAGATGCTCCATGCAAAACCAACTCAAGGCTTCCGTGAGAAACTCGTTCCAAGCTAAGGTTTGTTCAAGGGCTGAGAGGTCAAATGGAAGAAAGTCCCATATTACATACAGTTTTCTTTATTTTCTTTTCCAGTTTGGGTTGCCATCAGGAACCTGGTCTTTTTGCTTGTCTGCACTGACATTTCTGTTAATAACCACAAACAACTTGGCCATCTACAAGCTACCCCTCTCCAAGGTCACCTATCCAGAAGCCAACCGAGCTTATTACCTGAAGGTGACGAAACATCAGAAGTCCTCCTGCGAGGTATAAAGACTCAAGGACAGAGACAATTTGCAGGKTATAAGGCAAAAGCAGAAGGTAATTCCCCCAAAAAATGTGATTTATGTGCTACAAAGCCAAAAGACAAAAAAAAATCACCGCTTTAGGAGTGAAGAGACTTTTTCCTCAATATTTCTTAGTTCCATCCTGTTTAGACAGAATTGTGCAGTGTTGGAAAAACCCCTCCCAAGACCAATTTGGAATGATTTAAGAGCATATATGCTTCAAAGGACACTTGAAAATGCAGGTCACATCAATCACGTAAAGCAATGAAGAACAAAACATACCTTGGTATCTGATGAGACTCCTAATTTATGGTTATATCCAGCTTACCACAGCATTAGGGTATATCTGAGAGAGCTTCATAGTAGCAGAGAACTGGAAAAAAAAGAGTCCATTTTTTTAAACTAGAAAATAGGTGATGGGGAAATCTACCTGAAGGTGCTCTCCAGCCTAGCACAGACAGCAGCCCATTAATAACCACTGTGCACAGGATGGACATGGATAAATTACAGGCAGTGTTGCTAATATGTGCCAGACTTGTGGTAAAAATCACAATAATTGGGGTGTTTGTAAAGCCTTAGCTTTTGGATGTTTTAGTTTGCACTACTCTTAACATTTCTTAAAAAAATATCAGACTCACCCAGCTGCCRAGAAAAGTCTGTAAGTCTGTCTTCAAAGAGAATATTTTTCTTGAAAAAGGAAGAAGAACAAAACAAAACAAGATTTTCTGTTAAGCTCATACTGTTTTTTGCAGATCTAGTCATGGGTTGCAAAAGGAGGGGTCAACAGCAAAGTCATTGTTGGGCCATCCCTATATAATGAAATGTCTCCTTTCCGTCTGTGTCATAAATAGAATTATTTTGAACTGATCTCCTTGAGCTCCTATCCTAAACTTTCCTCCAACAACCTCTAACTAYCAGGCAGGACATGTGCATGTCCCAGGCTGTTGCTGAAGTCGCTGCTCTGCTATTTCCCCTCTGCACTGGCATCGGAAAGGGGTGGCAACAGCCTGGTGGATTGTAAGATAAATGACCAGCATCTCTTGCCAACTCCAGCCCTGGAGAACATCACGGCAGCAAATGAGGGTAGGTGGGCTCTGGAGCAGACAAGTGATGTGCCATCCTGCCATGGACTCCTAGGGTCTGGAGACAGCAAAGGAAGAAGTTGACTTTGCACCTCACAAACAGGCTCTGGTGGGTACTTCAATGGCTGCTGTATCTCAGCCACCTTTCTACTTGACTCATCAYRATGAGTCAAGCCCATGAGCCTGCTCTTCCTAGCCTGTGAGCCTGCTTTGTCACCATGCTCCCTTCCCTAAATCCCAAATAAATTTAAGACCGGCAATAAGGAAGCTGACCGTTCCAGGTAACAAGCTACAAMAGGGCATGCAAAGAACTTCAAGAAATAATGCTCAGTGAGTGCTCAGAAGCTGATCTGGGTTTCTGTGAAATGCATATGGGTTGCTGAAACTAGATACACAGCAGAAACAGAGAGAGGAGTCACCAATCCCGAGAAAATATGAGCTAGGTTCCGACTTCTTCACCACAGATCCTTTCCTTCACACCCTGGTCCTTCACTTGGCATTAGTCTGCATGCAGTTAAGCTGCTGGTGGGAAAGTGAATCAAAATCTGCTCCTCTTGTGGCAGAGTAAATAAAAATTAGATTGTGAATACAGCAGCTGATATATGAGGCTCRGAAAGGAAAATGTCTTTTATAAATACTAAAAAGATCCGAGTGAAAAATATTGGAGATGAACTGCTGGCAATATTTTCTGGTGAAGAGTTAGGTTTTCAAATGACAGGTGTTTTTTTATGAATGTCACTTCAGAGATGGCTTTTAAGATGTACCATTTGCTATGTTTTCCTTGATATATATCTACATAACATTTTGTGGCATTAATTAAAAAGAAATACTCATAGATCATTGAGTTTGATGTAGGTTTTCCTCTATTTTTCATTGCTGAGCTTGCAAAGACAGGTAGCTCTTAAATTACATCAAACAGTCTAGAGGATATTGTAAAATAAAATTATGAAATCAGCGGTGGGAGTCRGAGGTTCCAGGTATTTGGAAAACTTCCATGCTTTATATTTAAGGCATTTGGCTGCATGAATAACTTCTTAAATACACAAGTGTGAAGTCTGCTTCTGTAACAGGAGGCAGAGGTAGCTGACGGCATGGAGTTGTGCCTACAAAAGTACAGTCAAGGCTGAAAAACTCCATGTGAGCAGGACATAAGAAGTTGATCCCATTCCTAGGAATGTCACTGGACCCCTAGACCGGGATGGGTTCTAGATAGGAGTCAAATTCCCACGGAAAGGGAGAGCTTTCGGAGTCTAAACTGAGATCTCCCTTGCAAGGGACTCACGCCCCAGAGAGAGGGGCCAAGGCTAAYGCAAGAGGCTAAAGGCAAAGGCCAAGTTTCATTCGTATGTCAAAATCTGTGCTCTCCTATAGAGTACACACTTTATGACCAGCGTAAATCTGCACATTTTCTTTGGCTGGTGCTATTTCAGGTTGCTGTTGCTGAGCAACAGGCCCATTTTAGCAGTGCTGTAGGGGAACAAGGCATTAAGAGGAGGGAAACGACGACGGAGCAAGGCCACGTCTCAGGTGGACGTTGCACCTCAGCCTGGATTTAATTCCTCATTCATCGCTATCCAGAGAAATCAAAGTCTTCCTGTAACCCTACGCAGAATAATATTTATTTGGTAACTTGTCACACACGTCACTCAGTCAGAATATGTGTATTGTGCTTTTTCCCAATATCACTCCTAACAGTCTTTTCTTAGAGGCTTAATTTATCTTATTATTGAAACTATTCTGTAACTTTATTTTTCTTTATATCAAATAAATACTATTCCGAGTTCACATATCACTGGTGTTTTCAAGAGCTCTTTTTGCATCCTTGGTTTTGACACATAAACAAAAACTAAATCAGAACCACAACAAGACATTTTTGTGGGACAGGAGTTTTTGAGTCTCTTTTCTGGACTACTTTTTTCCCAGTGTAAGCATCACATAGTGAAAAAAAAATCCCACAGCATTAAACATCTTTAATGCAGAGCCACTTAAAACTCTGGCATCTGCTTGGAAAAAATATATATAATATTATGCAAAAGTCAAATGAACTCTCTCATTGTAATTCCCCAAGTCAGACTCTTTGCTTCTATGTCTAATGTATATTATAGTTTCCAAGACTCCCAGCTCCATGTAAAATAACTCTGTGCCAACCTCCACTGTCAGACTGTGTGTCTCCTGCCACCCAACACTCACTGCTCTGGTTGGGTTCCCKACTAGTCCCAGCTGTGGCCAAACACCTTTGTGTTGCAGAGGGTCCTCTTCTCTCTGCCTTGGGAGACCTTGGGACATGGTGGCATTTGAACCSCAGAGCTATTCACTGAAGATTCAGCCTGCTTGTCCCGGTGGAGAAGGTTTTGTGTCTTGAAGGAGTGGGGGAGATGGAGGAGAGGGGCGTCACAAACAAAAGAAACTCAACAACATYAATAGGGAGCCAAGCAAGGACTAGCAGCTCACGGTAGACAGAACTTGTTCTTCTGCTCCTGTCACAACAGCATAGCCCAAGGGTGATTTGCCAAGGTAGGACCAGGACCCTGGAATTACAAGTGCCTGCTGCAGCACAATRTTATTTGTATACTGGGGACATGTAACAATCTCCTTTACCTGACTCTCCTGGATTATAAGTTTTCCTGTTTTGTGCTTTTACCATGCTGTACCTGAAATACAACCTGTATAAAGAACACTTGAGTTGATAATTATCTTTTGAGTAGTCTTTTGAATCTTGACATTCAATACAAAGGATAAATTAAAATCACAAAATCACATGCTAGCCACAACTACRAATAATTCCCATACTAAAAAAAAGCCCAAGGATGGGGATAAGTATTCAGAGGAAATACTTGAATAGACCTCCTTTCCTTAGAGTCCAAGCATGCTAAAGGCTAGTATTGCAAGAGAAATACTAGTCACAAATAAACACCTTTCTGAAGCTTTCTTTTTCTAGTTCTCAAATGTTTGATGAGGAGAGAGTATAAATTGCAAAGTGAAAACATGCCAATGACTTGAGAACCTCACTTTGCTTATTTTCAAAGGCATAGATAGCCCAAAGTAATTAAGCTACCATACAACAAACAGAAATGTTTAAGCAGCAATTGGAAGCCTTGATTCTTCACGGATCTGGGCCAAAAGATTTGGCTTAGGTTCCCAAAGACCAGTATGTCAGTACTGGTAAACGGAAAAGGTTGGGAGCTGGCACACACATCATCACTGCTGAACTGCTACCACGTACCCTGCCACAGCCTCAGCTTTGGTTAACCAGTATCTCCACATCTCCTGGATGCGGCTCAGCAAGCAGCATGGACCTCTCTTATCTGGCCAGCACATCCTAAACCACCCAACATACACAACACTGMAAACGAGCTCTCTGGGTTAAATCTCTGAATGGGGTCTGGTGGTCAAATCTCTGGTTGAGACCTCCCAACTGACGATGAGGACTTGCTATCCCTTTTCAAGGATGAGTAAAACAGTTTTGTTTCACAACATTCCTGCAGTTTTCATCAACAAAAGACCCTTCATGCCTTTGCTAGCTGTACAAGTCCTCATGGGCCCATACAGACTGCAAGGACAATCCTGGGGCAGTAAGACTGCATCTGAGACAGATGAAATCCTGCTCAGAATCCCCATATTCCAACCTCCTCTATGGAGAGCTGCAGCTTGAAAGCTATTCCTAAATGCAGCCCTTATTTAACCACCATTAGAAGTCCTTACAAGAAATTCAAAGGCTTATAAGCGGGCAATGAACAAAATCAGTCCTGCAGTTAAACAAAAATACTCATGTAGGAAAAGGCAACTCRGTTGTACTTGCAGTACCTGAGCAATTGTTTCCACCTTTAGATCCATGAAGTCACTGGGAAGACCTTAGTGAAGAAAATAAAACCACATGTGCACTTGATTGCAAAAGTGGGGCTTT